AAAAATCTAGAAGCTCATTTCAAACATTTAGACTTATTCAAAAAGATTATTATTCAAAATGGTTTAGTTATATCAAAACCAAAAATGATGATTTTCCAAACTTCTATAAGATTTTTGGATCATAATATTGAGAAAGGGAGGATTATTCCAATAAATAGAAGTATTGAATTTGCTTCTAAATTCCCTGATATAATTACGGATAAAATCCAGCTCCAGAGATTTTTAGGAAGTTTAAATTACATTTCTCCATTTATAAAGGACCTTGCTAAAGATACTGCTATTCTTTATGAAAGATTAAAGAAGAACCCCAAAGTTTGGACTGACAGTCATACTGAAGCAGTTAAGAGGATTAAACAAAAGGTTAATAACCTTCCATGTCTAACTCTTGCCAATCCTACTTGGGCAAAGATTGTGGAAAGTGATGCCTATGATATTGGTTATGGAGGAATACTAAAACAATGTTCTCCAATAGATAAACAAGAATATCTTGTTCAGTTTTATTCTGGTAAATGGAACAATTCCCAGAAAATTTTTGCAACTGTAGCTAAAGAAATTCTTGCTATGGTCAAATGTGTTATGAAATTTCAAACTGATTTATATAATCAAAAATTTCTTATTAAGACTGACTGTCAAGCGGCAAAGTTTATCTTTAATAAAGATTTTAAACATGATGTTTCTAAACAAATGTTTGCAAGGTGACAAGCTTTATTAGCCCCTTTTGATTTTGAGATAATATATAAAAAAGGGTCTGATAATACCCTTCCTGGCTTTCTTACAAGAGAATATTTGAACTCATAGTTCTTTATTTTGTATTACAGATTATGAGGCCTACATATAGACCTCCTCGAGGAAGAGGAAGAGGAAGGGCATCTGCCGAAGGCGGAGGGAATAATATTCTCGCCCAAATGGGAAGCCAAAAATTAATTGCTGCTAATATAGCAGGAGGTAATATGGATCATCCTTTATATAAGGAATTTATGAATTTTATACAATCCAAAAAAGATGAGGGTACATCATCTAATGTACCAACCTACTCCTTAGTTATATCAGAGGATAGCAATGAAAACCTTGAGGTTTATAACTGAAAGGATACAAAAGAGTTAATAATTCTTTTGGAACAATCCGACCTTAAATGAAAGGATAACCCTTGGCAATTAATGACCAGATACTTTGATACAGCGTCATACGCTACTCCTACTTATAAATACAGGATGCACTATGAGATTGTACTCTCAATGACAGGATCAGCTGAAATTCAGCATTTTTATCCTGCCAATACCAAGAAAACTTATAGTTTTTCAAAAGTTATTATCAAAAAGGTTATACCTGTAGATGAATGGGGTATGAGTACCCTTAAGGATCGAAAATATACACATCCTGATAAGAAAGTCTCAGTTAAATTTAATTATTGGGACTATGTTGAAAGTTTTAATAAAACTTTCCTCTATGAGAATCCTAATAGGAAACACCCATGGTTCATTAAGCTATATTCTGATATGAACAGTCAGCCAATTCCAAATTGGTTCTTTAAATGGTGGAAGTCATATGGTCCATCATTAGAAATACTTCCTCCTCTATTTAAGAGTTTATATACTCAATGGGTAGATATATCTCCCAAAATTATTTCATTACAAAAAGATAATATCTTTTACGATGGAATTGTCACTATGTATTTTTCATAGAATTTTCTATCCCTTGGATTATGAAATGGGATGTAGAAGTTGGTTATACCAACGAAAGAGTTCCTTGCCTCCAAAGAATTGTTTATAACAAATTCTGGACAAAGTTAGTTCAAACAAACCAGCAAGGAAAATTATTTGGTGAAGAATTAATTCAACAAATTAAAGACAAAATTGATGTATATGTCAAACAAGAAAGGAGAAATTAGCCCTTTCCAACAGGTTACCAAAGAGCTCCAAATGAATAAGGGAGCCATATCCAAAAAAGAAATCCTCGCTTCATACTTCGAGAAAATAAAGAAGGATCTTGCAAAAAAATTTGAAGCAAGAATAGGGGATGATATATCTATGACCTCACTAGCAACTACTTCAGATGAAGGAGTATGTGTAGCAGGAGAAGCACATAGTACTTCTGATACAGAAGTAAACATGGAAGAAATTAAAGATTTTCTTGCAAAATTGAAGGAAATCACAAAAGAATCTTCTGTAAGGATAAACGACAAAGGGAAAGATAAGGCATGAAGGATAAGAAGGCCCCATACAATAAATTATTGGGGTAATAAAAACAACTTTAATAAAGTAAAGGGTCCCTCCATTATTGAAGGGAATCTACTTTTATAAAGCAATCTGTCCGTTTGTAATATAGATTTTCTTGCAAAATTGAAGGAAATCACAAAAGAATCTTCTGTAAGGATAAACGACAAAGGGAAAGATAAGGCATGAAGGATAAGAAGGCCCCATACAATAAATTATTGGGGTAATAAAAACAACTTTAATAAAGTAAAGGGTCCCTCCATTATTGAAGGGAATCTACTTTTATAAAGCAATCTGTCCGTTTGTAATAATAGACTTTATCTTTTTATCTTGTCGGCCACACCTATAATTATTTTGTCGGCCAATTCTATTTTTTAGTTTTGTTTGTTTGTAGACTGATCCATTATATAAGAATCATTTTTCATTCTCTAGAGGCAGGCGTTAGCCAAAGCATTAGCTCTGCCTTCTCTCTAGTTTCTCTCTCCACTTGTAAAGAACTTTTCTGTAATATTTCCTATTTTAAAATAAAAAGGTTGCTTGGCCACAACTAAAGGTCTCTGGTCTGGTACTGTTCTTTTCCTTCCCTCTTCTATTGTTGTAAGTACTGTTAGCCTAAATGATAGGCTAAACAGGTAAGTGTTAAACTTGGTTTTCGAAGGTTATTTACTATACATGCTTGGTAATTAGGAGTCTACTGTGTCAACCCGATGGGGTTTTGGGTTAAGAACTATATAGACCAGGCAGTTACCAATCTTGACAATAGACCTTGGTTAGGCCAACCTAACCGGTGGGGCTTGTAAGCCTGTTTAGGCAGGTGGTCGTTGAAGGGTTGTGAGGAGCCTCGTGGTTTAAGGTTTACTGTAGAGTTTGGTAGCTGGCCAGGAATGGTGTTCTTGTAATTCATTTCCTGATCCTTATTCGGAAGCGATCCTGTACCCCCCTTGGTATCAGAGCCATGTTAGTGAAAACCTTAGAAGCTAAGTTTAACACTATTTTCTTAATGAATATCATTAGGAAAAAGACTACCGTTAAAAACAGTAGAAAAGAAGAATATGAATTGCCTCAGCAATTAGATCTACTTAATAAGTGGACTATACCATTAGTCAAGCCTAAGGTAATATACCAGTTAGGAACATTCGAAAGAATAGGTTTAAAACAAGTAGTTAAAACTACTAAAGGGATGATCACCGTAGATAGTGATCATGCTATGTTCAGATTATTATCTGAAAGTGATTTAGCCCCTTATAGGGATTCATATAGATTTATACACATAGGCTTAATATAAGTTGCCTTTAAGCCACTTACTTTAAGAGGCTTACCTGAAAGCTTTATAGCAGTTCTCAGAGACGGTAGAAATCAGAACTGGAAAAAGTCTCTTATAGGGACTGTGCAAACCAGTTTGGCTTATGGCCCTGTTTACTTTAATGCTTACCCCAATTTGCAAATTTCTCTTAATAATGAAAATTCTTTAAATGCTTTAATACATAGCATTAAATTGCATGGTTATGACTATTTGTTTGGTACAGAAGTTATATGTATCTGCTATAGAATTTATTATAAACCATTGTATACTTTGAATCCTATGTGCAAAATCATGGACTTCAAAAATGAAACTATTATTATAGAAACCAACTTTGGTAAATCCAAAGTAACTACTAGAAGGCCTATTAAATGGGATGAAATAGATTTTCCTAAAAAATGGGTCATAGAGGAAGCTGTTACACCTCGAAACACTGGTAATACTGAGGTTACAGAAATAGAACAAACCTCAGATGGCACTATTAAAATCAGGTTCAATGAACCCATACAAACTGACAATATCAGTCTATCATCTAGATTGACTAGATCAAATTCCTCATACATTTCTCCGATTGATTATGTGGTAGATTTTCCATCTAGAGCATCCACATCACAAATTAGAGAAAACAATAGAATAAATGATATTAGCATCAACAGTGATAATATCGTCAAGATTAATACAGATCTTGAACCAACTGCTTCCAAAATGGATTTTTCAAATGGTATTAATAATGGTTGAAAACCAAATAGATTTTAGTCCGGGTTCACCGGCAAGAAAAATAATTTTAGAAGAATTTCTAAAACCCAGATGGGCTGTTTTCAGAAAATGGTTTCATGAAAACATGACTCCTGAATTGATACAATTTTTTAGACATGACTTTTATACAGACATTAGCAAGAAAAATAAATTATTCCTTTTGTTCCATGGTTTATGTATAAACATGTTTATAACTATATTTCCGTGTTAGAAAGAGATTATACACTCACAAATGGAAATATTGTCAATTCTATTTTTCCACCCCAACAATCTTTTCATATAGGGGAAAATGATAAAATTATTTACTGCACTACTTTTTCAAAAATATTTGAAAATGATTTTGCTGCAATAACTGCAAAGAACTTAAATACTATGCTTACTCAGAACAATTATACTAACATGTATGTGCGTATTCTAGGTGAACAGGTCATTAAGATCCATGAGAAATTGGACAAGCTTATAGCTGAAGTCCAAAAATCCAACAAAAGGATACTAAAGGTAAAGAGAAAATTGCTACTACTAGTATCCAACCACCTCCTGAGGTAAAAGACTTTAAATTAAAAAGTCTAGATGACGTAAGTCAAGAAAATATTGAAGAACTTCTTGTTAAGAAGTTAGGTGAATTTAGAGTTAGTCCTCTAAGTTTAGAGCATGCATCTACCAACAATCTGAGAGTAGATGACGAGATTAATAAAATCTCTGAAAAGTATGCTCGGAAACCATACCAAAGAATGTTTTACTATCCAAGACCAACTCCTCAAGATGTTCTAATAGAAGAACATGACAATGACCACTACCACCAAGGTTATAGTGGGTCAGATATCTATGAATGGAATATAGATGGTTTTGCTGAAAGACAAATCTATACGACAGTACATAGGATGCTGATGTATAGTACTATCAGCAATAGCATAAATGATTATTGCTGGATTACTGGTCAACTGAAAGACTGGTGGGATAATTATCTCACCCAAGACCAGCGCTTTCAAATAATGCATGCAACCAAGACGGAAGATGATAAGATTGTTCAAAACTCAGTCTATTCTTTAGTCATGAATATCATTGAACATTTTTTTGGAAGATGGTCTGATAATAGTGAGACCATTAGAACGATGCTCCAGAATTTGAGGTGTAAAACTCTCACATCTTTTAGAAGGTATAAAGATGTTTTCTTATCCAGAGTGATGGAATTACCAGAGAGTAATAGTACTCATTGGAAGTCTAAGTTCATAGATGGACTCCCGCCTTTATTTGCTGAAAGGATTCGAAAAGTCCTTAGAGGCACTGGAATGAGTATTGATTATAATAATTACTCATATGGTAAATTATTTAGTGTATGCACTCAGGAAGGTTTAGCTCTGTGTAATGAGATCAAGCTAAACCAACAAATTAAGAAACATCGTCTCACTGAGAGACAACAACTAGGTGAATTCTGTGAACAATTCGCCATTGATATACCATCCAAAAGAAAGAAATCCCATAAAAAGGATTTCAAAAAGAAGAAGGGTTCGCCGGAAAAACGGTATGAAAAAACCCAAAGAAGAAAGGCTTTTCACAAAGCCAGAAAGGGTTTCATAAAGTCTAAAAACCCTCAGGCCTGTTATAAATATGGAAGAGTAGGCCATTATGCAAAAGATTGCAAGATCAAAGATAAGATCAAAGAACTGGATTTAGATGATCATATCAAAGATTCTTTATGCAAAGATTCTTTTGAATTCTTCTCCAGAAATATCTGATACTGATGAAGGATCTTCATCAACAAGTGAAGACCTAAGGGTCCTTCATGAAGAAAGTTATACTTCATCTTCTGAAGAAGAGCAAGATTCCTGTAATAAGGGACAATGCTCAAATCATTGTTGTAATACTGACGATGAACTTTTTGATATCTACTCCCAATTTAGAGATTTAAAGATTAATGTTTTGTCTAATGATAATTTGATTAATTTACTAAGGGTTATTAAAGACCCTGAATTAAGGTCCCAGCTAATAGATAAAATTCCTACGAATCCAGAGGTAGGAACATAGGTGGAAGAAATTCCATCTAAAAAAGGACCTTACACCATGTCTGAAATCAGAAAGATGGTGAAAAATAAGTCCCAGCTTGAAAGGCTTTGTCCAAGATTTAAATACTGAGATAAGTTATCTCAAGAAAGAAATCTCGGAATTAAAAGCTTCAAATGTAGCTTTAGATGAAAGAATTTTCAAATTAGAAAATTCTGGGGTAATTAATACAAATCCCACCATTAAGATTACTGAAATAGATAGTATTGCTAGTACTTCAGAAGAAAATACTGCTAGTACTTTATTGGCAGTAATGGGTTTTCATGAAGATAAATTTTTAGAAAAATTACAATATTTTATCACTCAAAAGTTTTTAATAAAAATAACTCTTTTAATTGATTACAATTTTAAAAAAGAGTTTGTTGCTCTATTTGATAGTGGAGCAGATTTAAATTGTGTGAAAGAAGGAGTTATACCTTCCAGATATTTTCATAAAACCACTCACCGTTTAAAAAATGCTAGTGGTGGTGCAATGGGTATTTCATATAAATTACCTAAAGCTTATATTTGCCAAAAAGACACATGCATTCCTGAGTTTTGTTTTGGTAAAAAACATTCAACAAGAAGTAATACTTGGTGTCCCATTTTTCANTATATATATATACACACACACACACACACACACACTCTAATTAACTGAATACAGAGTCTCAAATTAGTTCCTCAATAATCTCCAATTGTTATAACTTTGAGCTTCTCCATTCCTCTTTGCTGAATTTTTTTCTTCTAATTTTGGACTTAGAGAATGAAAATTACTGTTTTGGTTGAAAATTGTAGTAATTGAAGACAAAAAAAAAAACGATATCTGTTGTGTATGAATTTTTCGTCCTAATTTAGAGATGGCAAATCTCCAGGCTCGGCGTGGGGGTCTGTTGATACGACAGTAAACTAGTGGATAGAACCTTACCGTCACTATAGAAGACCAACCTTTTTATTGTTTGTAGTTGCATTTGAGATTTTGATCTAATATGTCAGCATTCTATTGACTAACAAAAGCGACAACACTATGAGGCCAAAAAGGAAGGATTAGTTACCTCCCATAACAAAGTCTGATACCTTATTTATTTTAAATAAATACCTTTTAAAAAATTATAGTTCATAGCTATCTTTTGATTTTTTATAGCCAAATATTTATTTATGATCACCTCTTATCCGTAAGCCATAAAATAAGCTTTGTATTATTTTTCTCTCTCATATCCCCTCAAATTTCTCCTATCCTCTATCCCATATCTATTCTCCCTCTCTCTCTCTCTACTTCCCGATCTCATATCCTCTTTTCTTCTTCTTGTACAATTTCAACAATTGGCAATGCCTCTATCGAAGCCTTTATCGCTGGCGGTAAAGGCCCCTGCAGATTCTGAACGTCCCAGCCGACAAGAGAACAAACTCCAAAAGATATTCCCAAAATCCAACAAATTCTCATCCATATTCGAGACTTCACTAACCGATCTTTCATAAAAAATACACACATACTCCTACACCCACCAGATTTGCAGCGAAAAACAACGAAGTTCATGTCTTAAACTTGAAGAAGTAGAATTTCTAGGCATCACAAGATTTGACAAATTTTTTTGCCATGTATTTTTCCTAAAGCCACCCTAAAAATTATGCAGCTTGATTCATAGGTAAAACTCTAGAGTTGTTCTTGAACAAAGATGACGAAGTTGGAGGCTGAACAACTTGAATTTTCTGTTAATATATTTCAATGTATCTCGCTGTATTTCATTGTATTCATTGTCTTTTTTTTCATTGTATTTCAATGTATCTTGTTGTATTCTATGTATTTATTGTATTCATTGTCTTTCTTTTCATTATATTTCAATGTATCTATTCTATATATTTCATTGTATTCACTGTCTCGCTATATTCCATGAATGTATTCATATATTTTTTTTAATTAATATAATTTATGTATTCAGATTTATTATATAATTTCTCTGAAGATTGCTATGTTTTTGGGGTGTTTTTCGGTTGAAAATCTTTTTTATAACTGGAAATACAAATTTTGTCTGTTATAATTGAGTTTGTTGAGTTATATTAGGAGTCTATTATATTAATTGATTCACTTTTCGTTTAAAAATAGTGTAATCTCCTATTTCATTCTGTGAATACAGTCGAATACAATAATATGTCCAACTGTAATCCGATGTTTCACGCCATGAATACACTCGAATACACTCGAATACAAAAATCTGTCTAGCTGTAATCCCCTGTTTCACGCCTAGAAATGCTATTGTATTCATGAATACAATAGCTTAAATACATCGAATACACTCTAAAAAAATCTGAAAACATAGCTATAGGAAGTAATATAGTAAATGGTAGCTACAACTAGCTAATAACCACTAAAACATAGTGGTTTCTGAAAGTTTCTCAAAAAAGAAAAGAAAAGAAAGGTTTAACTGTAGCAACATCCCTAAATAACAACAATTCACTATAAAAGCCAAGCTTACCCGGAACCAATTTTTATGTTATATAATAATAATATATGCTCTCTATAACAACATTTTACTAGAACTTTTAAAAATATTCGAAACAAACGAAGCTGTTACAGAGAGATTTGACCGCACTTAAGAAAAAAAAAAGTTAATTTAACTTTCAATAGCATCCAACTCTCATTTGGATTTTAGAGGACTCCCAAGACCTTTCCATTGGCAACAATAGCTTATATTATTCCAATAGTATTATTTGTAGCATTGACGAAAATTCCACCCCCAAGTCATGGTTGCACATAAGAGAACAGTAATTCGTCTTTAATGGCGTGCGTTTGAGACTTTGAGTTTGATTCAATTGTTGACAATTGTTATGGACTTTTACATTTCATTTCGTTATCATGTTATATTTGTTGACTAGAAAACTTTTCTTAGAGTCTGTTATAGTACATGAAAGAATTTATTTTTATACTCTGATTGGTATTTACAAGTTAAAAAGAAAATAACAATGGTATTTACAAGTTAATGACATGATTTTTTTCACCTAAAATCGAGGATATATAAGTTCTTTTTATTTGTTTAAACTTTATAAATAAAATTACCTGATACCAATAGTAATGAGTGTAAGCACGTGATTTTTGCTTCACGGACAAGCACTCCAAAAGAAAACAAAAATAGTGACCAGTGACCTCGCTGTACAAATTTAGCGCGGGTATGAAAAAGGAGGTGTGACAATGAGAACTAACTGTGTATTTAATAACTTAGTTGATTTAGTTACACATTATTTTTAATACTAGTTTTTAGTGTACGTGCGTTGCACGTGTCTATCGTGTTAATCAATAAAAAATATATAAAAAGAACAAATTTATTCTGCATGTACCCTATACACTCCTATAATTTAGGTAAACCGATCTGTATTTCAGTCATCTTCGTAGGCCGTCAGCCACACACTCCCAATTTAATCCCCTTTTTTGAGTCTTATGTTTCTTCTCATCTCAAAGATTTTTATTTAACTCTAACTTATGCACCATATGAGAAAGTAAGAACACTCCAAAAGAACTCATTCCACCCAATCCCTTCCTAAATAATTATATTTATGGATTACATAATTATATATATTCAAAGTAAATATATAACATTTCAAAATTTAGCATGTAAATAGAAAAGTTTTTTTTTAAAAGGAATAAAGGATTCTACTTTTTGTTTGACAAAGTTGCCGAAAAATTGCTCATAAAAAAGTAGCTAAGAGTTTCCTTTTAATGTATTATCCTTTTCTATTTATGCATAGGAAAAAATAGAATTTAAAATAATTTGATTCCTTCTTGAAATATATATTTTCTTTTAATTAACTTAAGATTTTAGGAATCGAAGATATTTTAATTCCTTCTCTAAAACGTACTTTTCTCATTTACTTATGATAGGAATTTTAGGAATGTGTTTTTCACTTTTCTAAATCAAGGTCCTAAATAAGAAAGTAATTAAATGACTATTTCTAAATATTAGGAAAGTAAATTGAATGATTAATACTATATAAAGAAAAATAATAAAATGACTATTTAAGGGGTAAATAAGACGAACGATATTTCGCTTAGGACCTTCGTCTTTTAATATAATATAGATAAATATAAATTTTCACTCGTAGAGTAATAATTAGGAGAAATTTGGAAAAATATCACACAAAGTCAAGGTTCCAACTCTGACTATAATCTATAATTAAAAAAAAAAGAAAAAAAGGAGGAGGAAATTTGGTAGGATAGAGTCATTGACGGTGTCAGAACCACCTAGACCCCACCAAGAAAACAAAAGCCTTCCATTGAATTTCACGTAAATAAAAGTCTTCTCCTCTTCTTCCTCTTCGTTTCTCTCTTTTTCTTCCACTAATGGCTTCTGATTAGGCCTAAAATTTCCAAACCCTAGCTTTTTTCTCTTCATCTTTATCCAATACTTATAGATATACATAATATAAAAGGGTACTGTAGTAAATTGAAGGAATCGAGGCGATTCGAAGGGGATCTGAGGATTTCCCTGGATCTGCTCTAGGGATTCCGGTAAGTCTTACGAAATTTCTGTTTCATATTTTTTATTTTGATAATTTTGATGATCGAATAGAAATTTCATCAGTTTTAAATTGTTGTCGTGTAAATTTTGGGGTTCTTGTAGTTAGGGTATGGACAAAAATTTGGGGGTTGTTTGCTGCTCCCTTGTTGATCATTATATTAAGCTTTTTTTCGTTATATTCCTCA